CCCCAGAAACGCTCAGGCAAAATTCCAGACAGGGACGACAGAGCTTAGTACTCACTTACGACATTGCCGTCGTTTCGCCAAACCATGTAGCGGTACGTATAGTAGTGCTCAATGGTCTCGGAGACGAACTGGACCGAACCATCCCCCAACAGCACGTTGACACCCCCGGGATGAAGACTACTAACTCCTCTCCCGTTATATATGTTCGACTCGTCATCGAGAGCCGCAACATAGTCATGATTCGGACGGTAGACCGCATGAGTAAGGGTTCGGTAAGGACGGTGGGAATTCGTTCGGCTAGCGACACCGGCCCAAACTGCGGCACCAAAGTTTGTTGTATGCCCACTACTTGATGGACCGACCTTGCTTGCATCTCGTTCACCAACGAAAAACGTGTTCGAGGTTCCATCTGTGATATCACGAAACTTAAGATACGATCCGCCGAAGAATGTACCATGCGCGTCGTTGTTGTCGCGAAGCGTCACCGTTGTATCGCCAGCTCCTCCGTAGGCAACATAATTTGATGTTCCTGGGTAGAAGTGATCCGTCGCACCAAAGACAAACGCGTGGGTATCCCCGGCGATATCCGAGGGACAGCGATACGCGTCAATTCGTGTTTGAAGAAGGCGCTGGTCATCTGCGGTGTAGCCAGAATGATAGCGAGCTCTTAACGGAATGTGATTAGGATCGAGTTCCTCGAAGAGATTGTTCAATTCCAAGAATGGTAAAATCGAAACGGCCCAGCCATAGATCGGCTCAAGACGATAGGCGTAGTCGACGTCATGATAACCTGCAGGCAAACATCCAAAGGTATCATGGTAGTTGTGTAGAGCCAGCCCAATCTGCTTCAGGTTGTTGTTGCACTGCATTCGGCGAGCAGCTTCTCGTGCTTGCTGGACCGCCGGCAGCAAAAGAGCGATCAAAACCCCAATAATAGCAATAACAACTAAGAGTTCGACCAGAGTAAAACCTGGACGTCGAAGTGTCGTTGAAGACATACCCGTACCTCATGCAATTTTAGTGAAATACATATAGAACTAAATCGACGAGCCCTGTGGGGAAAGGCAGTCGCATGCATGGTCAGGTGTTCTATCATTCTACTTTAAGCATTCATTTATCTTGATAGTTCAATGCGTAAAATACTTGGCACTTTGCGCATTTCGAAGGGCTTCGTTCATCCGTAAGTCCCTCTTATTCGTTCCCATGTGTAACCATCAACTTGTTACTTTGAAGATGCTTTCTTGCTTGTATCTTTTTGCGGCTTGCGAAGCGCCTTTCCGGCTAAA